GAACTAACAAGGAAAATGGGGACAGACTCAAAGATGGAGAGCAGGATGACAGCTAAGAGTGGGGTGGGGAGTAGAGGTTAGAGTGTGGAGGGATTAAGGAACAAGGAAAAAGGACTCACGGTCATGGACAATAGTGTGGTGATTGCTGCGGGAAGGGGATTATAGGGACTAAATGGTAATGGAAAAAATACAATAAAGATTAAAAAATGATTTGAAGAAAATGCACAGTTATAAATCATTCTCCCTCTTTAAACAAATACTTAGAATGAAAAAAATAAAAATATGGAAGACCTAGAACTACCAAAATAACTTTTCAAAAACACACCAGAGTTACAGGATTTATCCTGTCAGACTTCAATATTTATTATAAGTCTACAGTAATCAGGGCAATGTGAAAGGACATGAAAGAGATCAATGGTACAAAACAGAGAGTTAAGAAATTGACCTGACATATACACAGTTAAATTATATTTGATAAGGGTGAAAGTCACATGATTTCCAATTCAGTGCAAGAGAATTTTTTCAACCCATAGTATTTGGGATATCTGTGTGAAAAAATACATGAAAATTAATTCAAGGGAGATCCCAGACCAAAACATAAAAGATAAAACTGTAACAGTCCTGGAAGAAAACATATGAGACTATCTTAGCAATCTTTGGATAGGCAAAGATTTATTAAAGAGTACATAGAAAACCTGTATATTTATAAAAAATGATGCTCAAAATTAGATACATGCATTCTTCAAAACATTCTGTGACGAAAATTAATAGATAAGCCACAGACTGAGAAAAAAATCTTTAAAACATTTAACAGAGGCTCTATATCTAGAACATATCAAGAAATCTTACATATCAATAACATGAAAAACAATCAAATTAAATGGGTAAAAGATTTAAAAGGACATTTTAAGAGAATGTATAAGATTGGCCAACAGAACATGAGAAAGTGCTCAACATAATTAGTCATCAGGAAAATGCAAATGAAAAGCACACAGAGATCCCAGTGCACAGTAGAAAAGCTAAAATGAAAGAAACTTGGTATCAATCATCGGAGAAGATGTGGAGCAACTGAAACTCTTACACATTGCTGTTGAAATGCAATATAATACAGCCTCTTTGAAAAATAATCTGGCAGTTTCTTAAAATATTATCCCTACATCTACCCTATGTCTCAGCAATATCATTCCTAGGATGCTATTTGATATGAGAGAAATGAAAACACTTATCTACAAAAAGCCTTTTACAAAAATTTTCAAAGCAGGTTTGTGCATAATAGCCCTAAACTAGAAACAGCCTAGATGTCAATAAATAGGAGGCTAGATAAACTGTGGTATATTCATGTTACAAAGCAATAAAAAGGAGTGAACAAATGATACAAATATCATGAGTGACTGTCAAAAACACTACACTGAATGAAAAAATCCTATGCACAAAAATGTATGTACTCCCCCCTCCATTCATATAAAATTATAGAATGGGCAAAAATAATCTGATAATAAAAAATCAGATTAGTGCCAGGTGTGGGGTTTTGATTGAAAAGGGCCTTAAGAGAACTTTTTAGGATAATGGAGTGTTCAGTTTCTTGACAGGGAGTGTAGTTACATGTGTATGCATTTATCAAAATTATTGAACTTCAGCTTAATCTGAGCATTTCACTGTGTACAATTTATACTTCAGTTTTAAAAATAAATTCATACACAATTCAGCTATGCACCAGTACATAAAGATACATGGACAAAGCTTCACTTGAAAAAACCAAGGATCCCATTATGTTTGAAGCAAATTTTGTAGGAATGATTTTATTTTATTGTCAAACATAGTATTTTTTGAGGAGAGTGGAAAGATTAAAGCAAAGGGAATACATAATCAAGAATGCATTTTTTTAAATCTCAACACAGATAAAAGACCACATAGAAAGTAAGGCTGGCTAATTATCCCCCCAAAATATTTGAATACCCTTGAGATTGTCTTATAAAAATACTAAAGATATTGTGGTTAAACCACAAGAATCGTTAGAAAGCCCCATTCTACTTCTGTTTCATTTCTAAACAAATCCATACTTCTTTTAAACCACCATGCTATTTTGAAAGTTCTAGCACAAAGACCACTTAAAAATCTTTTTTCAGGCATGAGGAAAGGTAGAGTGCAGAGTTCCACAGTACATTCTGGAACACTGTCGTGTGGAATAAAAAAAGACTATCCATCAACAGGTAAATAAAAGATATGTAATCTGACTTATAAGAATTTCCATCACATAGTGTTATTTGAGAACAGAAAGATGCTGGAGTAGCAGTACTCATACCCCCACACCCTATACAGGATGGGCTGAAAGTAGGTTTACAGTTATTCACATGGAAAATAATACAATAATTAATAAATAATAATATAAGAATAAACTCTGTGTTTTGCATACTCACAATTGTAAATCTGCTTTGCCTCACCTTGTATGTACCTTTGGTGCCTGTGTGTGTGTATAATACAGAGCGTAGCTGTAGATATAGATAAGGCATATATAAAAGTATGAAAAAAAAACACCAACTTGCTAATACTGGCATCTTGAAAACATTTTAAGAGCATTCCCACAATAAATATGTAATAAATGCTGTGATTACACATATACATACAATAAACACATGAAAAGATAGTAACCAAAATCATTTTAACGAGTGTTAAAGTATACGTATATTCACTTTCTTCCTTATTTTTATTTCTATCTGCATGTTTTACTACTGACATATGTTATTTATGTAATCAGAAAAAAGGGGCATTTTTATTTTGGGGGAAATAAACATCATAGACCTGAAAAATACTGCAAAAAGCTTTGCAATTTAAAAAAATATATGGTGTTATAGGTAAAAATATTCTGAGTTATGCGTAATGGTTTAAAATTTTAAATAAGAGATAATTGTATAGTGCAAGCACTACTTTTTGCCAACCTCAAAGAACAAAACATCCTATGTAAACAGACCCAAAGGCCGGGTATCACAGACTGATGGACACACAAACATACCTGGATGGTTTAGAAGAGTGTCAAGTTCTTCTTTGGCCACAACCATTCTTAATCTATCACTACTATCAATGACAAAAATAATGGCTTGCCCATCTCTGTATAATATAAAGAATGACAAAAATTAAAAATAAACTTACACATTTTCCCATGTTTACTATCCATTTGCATGCCCTAACCTGTGCATTATCTCTTCATATCCTATGTCCATTTATCATTATAGGCTTTGGCGCTATTTCTTAGTAGTTTTTATGAGTGATTAAAATGTTAACCATTAGTGATATTTCATGTAAAATAATTTCATATCACTTCAGTGATAACACAGTAAATTTAATGACTTTAAAGTTATTTCATAATTTTAAAAAATTACAAGTAAAACCACAACCCTATAACAGACATAATAATCATTATTTTTTGGGTAAATCAATGTTGACATTATGTGTAATCACATATGAATATCTACAGCTATAGAAATAGAATCCTGTTGTACACACTGCTTTTCTGACATGTATATACATTTTATTGATTTTTTTCTGTAGTATAGCTTGAACTACTTTTAGTGCTTCTCAAATAATTTTTACCATAACCATAGTGATATATATGTTTTATATTAATATTTAAGACCTGTAAGTATATGTAAATATATTTGAAATAGGTCCCCTGAAACAATACTTACAATTAGCTTTTATTTTATTCCATTTTATTTTTTTAAGCTGATACCCAGCCACTGAACTAGTTTAAGGATTCACTTACCGATCACAGTGGCACTTCAGAAATCACTGATTCCCTCTACACCCTTTCTTTTAATAGTTATAAAGTATTTCACTGCATGAATGTGTCATCAAACATTGTGTCAAACTTCTACTGTTGGACTTAATTGTAGGTTATTTCCAATTTTCATTATTATTTGAAATCCTCCTAAATACATTTTTGAAATTTCTTGAAACTTTAAAGATCCATTCTTAGGAATAAAATTTCTAGGAATATATATAAAATTTAAAGTTTTAGATAAACAATGATAAATTATCTTCCAGAAATGCTGTATGCACTTATATCATCACTACCTGCATTTTTCCTATCCACTTGTGACATGCCTCCTATCATTTTTTCAATCTTTGTCATTTTAACAGTTACATTATTTTACTTTATATTTTATTAAATGCTATTGAAGTTCAGTATCTTTTCATGTATTCATTGGACATTTATACTTTTTGTGAATCACTTATTCCAGTCATAAATTAAGATTTTAAAGTTCAATGTCATTAATAATCACGTAACTATAAAAATGAAACAACTTTTTAGTACCACTGTCTTGTATCACTTAAAAATGTAAATGTAGATTAGCACAGTCACACACTACCAATGGACAGAGAAACTGGTCCAACTGGAAACATCCATCCAGAGCTTTAAAAATGTTCAATCACATAAACTGTGACAAAGATTCATGCAGCAAGATGGTAACTGAAGAACTGCTTATAATCTTCAGAAACCGAGAATAGCCTTCATATACAAATAAATGATAGAGCAAATTTGGGCACAGGCATATGAAAAAACATTAGGCAGACATCAGAGTTATAGTCTTTGTATGTTTTTCCTGATTCACCCTCATCATCGTATGTTAACTGAAAAAGCAGGATAAAAAACTATATATGGTATATGATTTAGAAGGTTCCTTTCTCAATTATGTAGAGTGTACATTACATATTCCAAAAAGCAATCTTTTTAATCTTTCAGCCTAATACATTAAAATGCACTTGTTCTTTAATAATCAGAGAAACATAGAAATACATAAAAATAAATTTACTCTTAATGTAGTCTCAATAGTAACCATTTTACCATTTAACCTACAATTTATCTATAATATTCCTGAATTCAGCAGCTTCTTCCAAAACAATTTTGAAGGGAAGTTAAAATCAGAAAAAAAGCTTTCATGTTTTGAAGTACTATTTTCTATGTATTTTTGCTTTCTGTAAAGTAATTAAAATAAGTGTTAGTGCACACTTTGGCAGCACATATACTAAAATTGGGACGATACAGAGAAGATTAACATGGCCCCTGTGCACGGATGACATGCAAATTTGTGAAGCATGCCATATTTAAAAAGAAAAGTGTTATTTTTTAAAAAGTAGCTAAAGTAAATACAATTTTTGTAAAAAGATTTTTTACCACCTAACTGGAGAAGAAATTAAAATATTCTACACTGAAAACTCTGGTTTTTCTAAATAAAAGGATAAAAAAGCAGCTCATATTTCTCAAGGAAGTTTAATGCATGGTATCACAACATGCCACTTTTCCTTTTCCAAACTGACCCTTAGATCTGAAGCACTCTCTTCTCTCTACTTCACAGGTCCTCTGGATCAATATACAACTTAAACAGGTCTTCAATTTATTAAAGTACTCATTGAAAAGAATATCTGAAATAAATTTTCTTGGTTCCTATCTGAGAAACACAATGTTCTTGAAACTTTATTAGCAGGAAAAGATTAACCAAAATCACAATCTGATCTGGCAGTAATCACATACCATTTCACTGCTAGAATTCATTAAAGACAAAGGGGCATTTAGTCAAGGTACATTGTTTGTAAGTTTCAGATTCTAAAAGTGAGTTACTCTGCTTTTAAATGAAGGAGTATCTTAGCTATAACAGAAGTTAATGAATTCATTTGAACACCTAATGCAAACCTGGAGAGGATATAACACATCTGGATCCTAGTAACTTGACAGCTGTTAATCTAATGTAATTAATGAGTGCTTGACTCACCTAGGCTAAAAAATACCTTTAGAACTGCTTATAGAACAAATGGATCAACTATTACAGAGTACAGTTATTTTAACTAAATTTACTCAATAAATATTTACTGACCTATATGCCCATTATCATACCTGGCCTTGAAGAAATCATCTGAATGAAAAATAATCCCTGCTCTTGAGGAGGAGTTCACAATCCCATTAGGGAGGCAGCTATGGTACATGCCTTCAGGATATAGTGGGTATGACTCGAGATGTGAAAGTGCTATGTGAACACTGGGACAGGATAACTGGGTGAACAGTGAACTTTCACAGAGGGAGTGACTTTTGAGCTAGTCTTTAAAGAATGATATATTAACCTCAAGCAGCAAAGAAGTAGGGTGGAACAGGGTGTTAAAAACGGAGAGAACAGCACATGCAGAGGTCCAAGGTTATGAAAGACTTCATGCATATGAGAAATAATGTAAAGTATGATGGTACTTTTTTAAAAAAATTAGGGCATGTGTTTAAATTATATGAAAAATAAACACTGCAACCCAGCTCATGTTATCGCTTGGATTTCCAATCATTATTTGTATTACGATATACCCATCTAGTTAACCAACATTCACAAACATACTTACTTATAATAGTGTTCCCAGAGATTTCTGTATCTTCCTTGGCCTGACATGTCAAACACTGTAAAAGACAAACTAGAAAAAAAACCCACAAAAAGACTCATGACTATATTATAAGCTATTAACTTTGAAGTGTAACTTTCACTTAAACTTTTAAATTGTTTTCAATTAAAAACACCACTCTTGAATATACAATATTCAACTTAGGCCAATTTTCAAGTACAAATGCCATAAAATAAATGTATTGAATAGAAGTAAGATTTTGTAGTGAATAACATTAAAAAAACAAAAACAAAAGATGTTCTTTGCTAGTGAGATTATCAGCATTTGTCTAAAGTCTAAATTCTAAATTTTGAAAAATAATCCAGAGGTAGTGGTACAAATATTTTAACATCAAAGAGTTTCTGAAAAACAGAAAAATTACTTTTTCTTACACTAGGAGGAATGACTAGATCTAGTATTATCATTTTTTACCCACAACTTATTAGTCACAAGTATAATGAAGTGAAAATTACCTGGATGATTTGAATTTCTCTATGCTGAATCCTATTGTTGGAACTATATCTTGAGATTGAGCCTTTTAAGAGAAAAGATAAAACTTAAAAATTAGCAATTATCAGACTTCTGGTCAAGATAGAGGTGGAGCTTCTATCTTGACGAGTCCCCTCCTGGCACAACCACATCAAAATTACAACTAAACTAGAGAACAACAATCACTCAAAACCATCAGAAATTGAGTTGAATGGAAGTCTGACAACCATGGGAGTAAATAAAACACATCCATCCAGACTGGTAGGAGATGTGGAGATGAAGAATGGGCTGGTCCCACACCCATGTATGGTGGATAAACATTCAGGAGGGATATCTTGGGGGCGAGGGGCCCCAGCCCCACACCAGGCCCCTAGGCCCAAGATTCCAGTGTCAGGGAGATAAGCCCCCGTAAGTTGTGGCTGTAAAAACCAGTAGGGTTTGATAGGTGAAAGGAACTACTGGAGTCCCAAGCAGTGCCTCTTAAAGGGCTCACACACAGACTCACTCCCTCTGAGCTCCAGCACTGGGAGAGTAACTTGCAACATACTAGGGGCATATGGGGAGGAACTGAAGTGTTTGGTATCAGGGCAAGGCAGAGGGATAGCTATCACCCAGACAGAAAGGCCAGCAGGAGCCATTTTGCCTTTTCCGAGACCTCCCCACACAAAGCCACAGAGCAGGCAGGAGGGAGCCATATCTGAGACTCCATCAACCAGGCTCACAGGGTTTGCTCCACTCTGGGGAATCCCTGAAGCTCTGCCCCACGCAACTTACGGCCTACCCAAGCTATTAACAATGACTTTTCCATATGAATGGCTGGTTTTGTTCAAGTTTCCTATCTTCCTAAATTCTCTCAAATAAGCACAACCAACCTGAGTGAGCCCCCAGCACCAGTACCTCTAGCTAAGTGGCCCCAGGCCCAGCACTAGCAGCAGCCAAGTTTGGATCCCAGCTCGGCTTCACCTGGGACTTCCAAGACCAGCACAAGTAGCAGCCATATGAAGATTGCTCTGTAGCTCATGCTGGATGGCCCGGGCGGAACACAGGTGGAGGCTGACCTTGGCCCGCACCCCCCAGGAAACCCCAGAGCCTGTGTGGACAGCTACAGACCATGCTGGAGCACTACTACCCTGCCCCAGCACAAATGATCCTCCACGGAAGGTGGAGGCTGATGGTCAGTGGTCACAACCAGTTCTTGCAGCTGACTGGCCTGGGTAAATCCCTCCCATTGACCTGCCCCAGCAATCAAGACTCAACTACAAGAGAAGGGTATACTCAGCCACGTGAAGGGTATACCTTGAGTCCCCAGCTTCAGTGATAGGGGAAGCTGTGCCACTGGACCCTATAGGACACCTACTATATTAGGTCATACTACCAGGACATGAAGTCACAGCAGCTGTATTTAGTACATAGAAACAAACACAGGGAGGCTGCCAAATTGAGGAGACAAAGAAACATGGCTCAAATGAAAGAATAGATCAAAACTCCAGAAAAAAGCCTAAATAAAATGGAGATGAGCAATTTATCAGATGCACAATTAAAAATGCTGGTTATAAGGATGCTGAAGGACCTTAGTGAGTACCTCAATAGCATAAAAAAGATCCAGGCAGAAATGAAGAATTCACTAATTGAAATAAAGAACAATTTATAGAGAATCAGCAGTAGTGTGGATGAAGCTGAGATTCAAACCAATGATATAGAACATCAGGAAACAAAAAACAACCAATCAGAACAAGAAGAAGAAAAATAAATAAAAAAATGAAGATAGTGTAAGGAGCCTCTAGAACAACCTCAAGCATTCTAACATTCACATCATGAGGGTGCCAGAAGAATAAAAAGAGCAAGAAATTACACATCTATTTAACAAAATAATGAAAGAAAGCATCCCTAATTTGATAGGCATGCAAGTGCAGGAAGCTCAGACACTCCCAAACAAGATGGACCCAAGAGGCCCACTTCAAGACACATCATAGTTAAAATGCCAAAGGTTAAAGATAAAGAGAGAATTTTAAAAGCAGCAAGAGAAAAGAAGTTAGTTACCTACAAGCGAGTTCCCATAAGACTGGTCAGCTGATTTCTCAAAGGAAACTTTGCAGGATAGAAGGAACTGACAAGAAATATTCAGTCATGAAAAGCAGGGACCTATAGTCAAGACTGCTTTACCCAGCAAACTTGTCATTTAGAATCAAAGGGCAGAGAAACAGCTTCCCAGACAAGATCAACTAAAGGAGTTCATCATCACCTAACCATTATTATACAAAATGTTAAAGGGACTTATTTAAGAAAAAGAAGATAAAAACTATGAACAATAAAATGGCAATAAACACATACTTATAAACAACTGAATCTAAAAAACAAACTAAGCAAACAAGAACAGAGACAGAATCATGGATATGGAGAGTGTTTTGATGGTTTACAGATGGGAAGGGGGGGGTGGAGGGAATGGATGAAGAAATGAGGGGATTAAGAAATACAAATAGGTAGTACAGAATAGCCATAGGGATGTAAAGTATAGTACAGGAAATGGAATAGCCAAGAAATTATACGAATGACCCATGGACACGAACAAAGGGGTGGGGACTGCTTGAGGGAGTGGGGGATCCTAGGTGAGGGTATAAAGGGGGAAAATCAGGACAACTGTAACAGCAAAATCAATGATACATAATTTAAAAGAAAAAATTGTAATGATCAAAGATGACATTCTTCCTCAGCTTAAAAAAAGCATCCTGATTTTCCAAGTCTAAAATCTGTTACTAAGGAGATAGTAGGATTAGACAAAATAACATTTTTTTTGCGTGGGTAAATTTATAGAAGTTTAAGGTTTACTAATTATGAATTTGTATAACGTATGTATTAATTCACATTTTGTGTGGCTTGCTGCAAGTTAACATGGACTTAAAGTGGTTTTATAAGTCACTCTGAATTCACATGTAGGACTTTCTAATCTTTCAACACATATTTACCGAGCTCATATGTGCTATGGGGACTGTCCTCTTGCTGGCATAGTGAATCTACACAGTCCCTGTCCCATGGGTTTATAATTTAGAGGAGGTAAACAACAACAAAGAACTACTAAGTTATAAACAATAACACAATTTGGGGCAGTGATAAGTGTAATGAAAGGTAATTGAGGGTTGTGGGGTAATGGGGCAGAGTGTTGTTATAAGGCATGGAAAAAGGGTGCTCAGGTACTTCTCTGAAAAG